ATATATTTTGTCTGGTTCCATTTCACAATGCTTGTATCACCGTGTGAAATATATTTAGTCAGAGGCTGAAAATGTTGGTGAAATGTACAGAAACTAAAAGTTAAATTTAGTCTGTTACTTCTTATAAATGGACCCAGGGCCAGCTAGTAATGAACTGCTTAAGCCGCGTGTTGCTGTACAGACACTGTTTCAGGTACCTTCCGGAAATGCACCTGAAAATAAATGGGTTAAACTGTGATTAACTTCTGATGGGAACCTCGGCTAAGAAAGAAAATGAGACGCAAATGCAAAAAAACAGCGGAGCTTGTATATTTGAATTTCAGCAACATTGTACTGCCTCTGTGCTCCTGTGGACGTTTGAAATGGCTGTATGTGGGAGGTGTGAGGGTGCACAAAAGCTGCTTTACAGTCGTTACTCTTAGCTGGGAAAAGTGGCCCTATCTACATAGTGAAATATCTACATAACTACATATCTACATAGTGAAATATCTACATAACTACATATCTACATAGTGAAATATCTACATATCTACATAGTGATATATCTACATAGTGAAATATCTACATAACTACATATCTACATAGTGAAATATCTACATATCTACAAAGTGACATATCTAAATAGCTACATATCTACATAGCTACATATCTACATAGCTACATATCTACATAGGAAAAACTGTCCTGCTTCTTGCTTGTGCCATTTTTTTACTGGGCGAATCGGACATAACATTGCAGTGCCGTCTAGCATCGCGCTAATTCCAGAGCTTTGTTCCGTGTCGCCATTGTGGGTCACCATCTGGTCGGCTAATGCTGCGCGCTGACTTTACAGACAGGGCACACTGCCTGCAGATGTCCCTACCCCAGACCACACAGAGACCATACAATTAGAGCAATGGACTGTGGGTATTATACGCCACAGTCCAAATAAATCCAGGCCCTGATTCTATCCAGCACCCATGGCAGAAGTGGTTGACCCCTGGGCACCATCTTTCTTAGGGGGGCGCTGGCTTGAGCCAGCCAAATTCACTTAGTCACTAATGCTTGTCTACGGGGCTACAGCGGCTTTGCCCAGTGTGCGAAATTTAAAAAATATGTAGGGGGCAACTTTTCCCCCCACTGTCTAATAATGGGGACATATACAAAATTCTGGGGATGCTTTTTAAAAAATGGTAATTAATGCATAAAGTTTCTGTTTTTAATGTAAAATGAGTCCAGATTAAAGTGCATACAGTAATCACCACCTTGTTCCAACATAAGTAAATAAAAAGCAAACTATTGCTGTTCCAAAGAGAAGTGAGCAATCATCTGTATGTGTACAGAATACCATCCGTATGAGAGACAAAGCAGGAGACAGTTCTAACTATTTAGGCTTTTACTTAGCTCTTAATAGCCTTTGTATATATGTATAATGCATTAGTAACTCAATCATGGTCTTTCTTTAAATATCCTCTTTATAAACTGTTGATGGTCTATTAAAAATATTTGGGAGAATGAAAGGTGGTGTTTTACAGCTGTAAATGCAAACCGGTCCCTTCAACAAAATAAATATTGCAAATTACGGTATTTTAAACCTGAGCCATTCGGCAATGTTTTAAAAGAAAAAGGAAGCAAATATCAATTATTCTTCGCCTCCATAAACTACTTTGTGAGACGTTTACTTGACGGTTTGATTTTAGCTGTGAATTTGAGGAGTCTGGGCAATGTCATAACCAAAGCTCTTGCGTTATTTACAATTTGGAAGGAATACTATTGGTTTCCATTTTAAGAAAATCGTTTATCCCTAATTTTAACACACACAATAAAGGGTATCTCAATATACACAGTATTGTGTCATCCTATAGTTTGTTGTGAAAATGTATCAACATACCGTGAAAATTTGATATACTGCCCAGCTATAGTACTATAGCTATGGTAGCGCAGCCATTGGTAAGCAGATGATCCTTCATTTTTGCTCATTGATCAATAGTTTTTAGCGGCATTGAGAGATTTATTGGGGCATTATTGCACCTTTGTCCCCATTTATTTCCAACGCTGGCTTTGACTGATAGTCACACATGGCGTTTTTAGGGAAAGTGAGCGGCGATCATGGGGCCTCATTTTCTTCAGCACGCTCGTGTTTTTCTACTGCCAGGCCTGTTTCACTAGTACCTTCAGATGTCCGTTCCAAACAAGGAGCAGGGTGATGCAAAACACCCAGTGATTATATGCGATATTGTGGGGATGCTAATACTGTCACCATTATTTTATGGCCGTGTGACTGGTCTCCAGCTTGGTCGTTCTTCTACATTCCAGTTGATAAGAGGCTTGGCATATTTTGTAGAATATTGAATATAATGTGACCCGTTCATCGTTCATCAGTAGATGTTTGTGACTAAAAGGAAAAAAAACAGAAACACCATATTCCAACTGGGATTTTAAATCAACTCAGGCCAACCATAATCCTGCCCTGATATTTGCATTTTCACCATCAAACAGACTGTGGTGGACCAGCAGGAACACAATGCCTCTTCCCAATTTAGAAGCAGAAATCTTGGTTGCTCCAACACAGGTTATACGCTGTATGGTATAATCAGAGTTTGGGCCCTTCGTCATGCATGTGTCTTAACTGCATGGAATGCATAGGATGAATAATAGACCACCACACAGAAATAGTGTTTCAGAGGTGAGAGTTAATGCGGAATGCCCTTGCTGGGTGAATCATCACAAATACGCTATCTCACTGAGGAGAGACTAACTAACTTATCACTGCTTATTAAACTAGTTATGTCGTATCCATCGAGTCATCAGACTATTCGCTGATTATTTTAGGGTGAAGGAGAAAGAGGTGAAAGGAAAAATAACTGAGATCTTAGTTTCATTTTGTAAAATGGGAGCTGCTACTTATTTTTGTCTAAAATGATACAGATTCATATCGTAGTCAGTTTCCACAGCCTCTGAGAGTAATCAGTCACCTGCATAAGCTTGTTCAGCTATCTACTGCAAGCTGAGGCGAACTGAAGGTTACCTGGGATGACAGAGGACCTTGAAAAGGAACTGACCGGAAAAATGCCAAGCCAGGGAATATGTATGTGAAAGAATCAAGGGCAGTCAAAATGGCAAAAAAACTGAATGGATTCAGTCAGGAATCTCGAAGATATTTAATCATCTTACATCATGTTATGAAAACAAGAATAATGCTGTATATTTTTATTTTAATGCTTGTTAAGTTTACTGTTTTGGAGATTTTTTTTGTGAAAGGCCCTCATTATGAACCGTATGTCCTATCTCAAGGAACACAGACAGTTTAGCAATGTCCGTGGTATCAGGGATGCTAATACTACAACCGTTTACTCTTGACTGTATTATCAGTGGTGGTGCTTTAGTATAATGTATCATATATATTGAGCTTGTTAGAGCTTATGCAAAGAAAGTGATTTATTTATTAACAATTTAATAATAGTTTACTCTTCTGGCTTAACCCCTTGTACATCCTTTATGCAGTAATGAATTTTAGTTTACGTCAGTTACATGTCTTTCCTTTGCATAATTAGTGTTTGTACTGCCCGATTTCTTAAAAACAGCAGGTCTGCTTGACGACAGCCTCCCGCGTGAACGTGATGTTTTGCAGCTATTTGGCATAGTGAATCCATTAAGATCAGTGCAGCACAGAGGGCAGAGTAGCGTATACACTCTAAACTGAAAAGCTTTTCCTCGAATAGTCTGAGTGCCGCCGAAAAATGCGGAAGAGGCCAGATGTGTGACTGCGTTCACTGGCATCGGGGAAAGTGGGTAATTTGGTTAGTATGGGAGGGAGCTCAGTGAGAGCTCTGACTGACAGTGCTCAGATGACAGTTGTATGCCATCAGTCCTGTTGCATTTTTAGCATCTGATTGCGGTCGGCAACTCTACAGCACAACTGACTGACTGATTTCGAATTCGGACATTGCAGATTGCTCAAACTGTTAAACGAGGTATCCGACTCGCATGACAAATGGTAAAAATACTGCCTGACCCCATGCAGAAACACTGTGCCTTCTTTAGCCGATATACACATATTTTTAGGTACCGCATCAATACACTGCTTAGCCCACGCATCATCCATCTACAACACTGCCTTGTTCCATGAGCCACTTTAAAATGTTAGTTTATTAATCGTATACTGCCGATTATTGCCGTACTATACTATTAACTGGGCAGTTTATATAGTGTTAGGACATGTTTAATGCAGCATTGGGGAAATAGGCTTTTAATTGTTTATATAGTGTTAAGGTAATTGTTAAAGCATTAAGGCACAGTTTATGTAATATTAGGGTAATTATTATGGTAATCATAAATCAAAATCTTCATTAGCGTGGGAAGGGCAGCTCGTCACGCGCCTTATGAACCGTCTGAGGTGAAGTGCGTAAGAAAATTTTAAAAACCTTTTAATTTTGGTATGTAACACTATAAAAAAGGCAAAATCAGCGGCTGCTACAACACCAACGCCGTCAAAAAAACGTATAGGGTTAGAAATGCCTACCCAACAAAGTCTACTTACTGCACAAAAAGTAAGGATCGTATTTCATTCGGCAAACACAAGAAGTACGTGCTATTAAAATGTATTTAGAGGTGGCGCTTACTGCAGTATTACACGGTTTTCAGACTGAAATGATATATAGGCTAAATACCTACCACTGAGACTTCATTAAGGTACATAAACATTTTTACTGCCTGAGGTGAATGGGGTGAGCTTAGCGTCTCCCTTATCGCTCACGATAGCCTATACCTAATTAACATTTAAAAATGAAGACCGGTTAATATTCGATATTCTGTTAATATGTATATTCTGTTAATATGTATACTGCCTGACCCCATGCAGAAACACTGTGCCTTCTTTAGCCGATATACACATATTTCTAGGACTCCGGCCGTTACATTATCACTCATATATTAATAAAGAATAATAATCATCGATGACTCCGCGGCACTTCGGCGCCCAGTCACATATCTGACATGTTTGCCAAAAGGGAGTAAGTACCTTCATCATTCTCTACGCTGGCAAATGTTACCAAGTCGGTTATGTTGTAGTAAACCCGGCAAGGCGGCAGCTCTCCGTCATACCATGAGACCCGGGGCAGCCCATCATTTGCTCTTAATGTGGTAATGATACGTGTTCATAGACGATCCAGCTCATTGCCTCGTAACATGGCTTGTTTACTAGGCGCAAATCACAGTCTCTCATTATTATCCATCAGACGCCGGTACATGAGGCATACAAATAGCAATCTGCACGGAGAGCTCAGCGCCCGGAGAGGATGAGCCTACCTTCAGTACACCGGCTTCTGACCGCATGGCCACGACATGAGGCATTAGTGTCTATTACTGCTTTCTCATTCAATCCACTCCCCCTTTCCAGAGGGTAGGGGCAAAATAAACGCGCACACCCATCCGATCGCCGTGGAAAACAAGTAGCCGGCTGCCCCCCCCCGCTCCCCAGCCTCCTGTCACATCCTACACCTGACGGGATCCGCTGCGGACTCCAAGTGCCGGTCCCGCGGATCCGCGTGAACTCCCTCCGGAACCGGGCCTCCGCGGGGCACCATGAGAGATGGGCCAGGCGTGCGGACACTCTTTCCTGTGCCGGAGCCAGCAGTATCAACCGGCGGCGTCGGAGATGTAAGTGAGTCCGGGCGTCTTTACTGGCAGGAATAAGTGCATAGCGGTGTCAGAGGACTGGAGCTTGGTTTACGGTGATGAACGCGAGCAAACGTGCGCAAGACGAGATGCTCCTTGAATAACAAGCAGTACAAGATAGTTTACCGGGGAGCGTCCGGCGATATTTAATGCGGTATTAATGACGGCGTTTACGGTGACCCCGCTGTTTACCGACGGATCTGTCTGCATCGGGGGATAGCTGCGGCTCTCATCCAAACTTCAGCGGCTGTGCCCGAGCTGGATGTGCTCCACGTGTGAGCCGCGATCTTTCTTTCAAGCGTACTTCTTCTTCTTAAATAAAAAAGACTGTCAGTTTAAATCACGGGTACGTCGTGTCCAATACACGACAAACTGATGGCTTCCTTTGGAAACACTGAACTTGATGCCGTTCCATTCAAGATTTCACGTTTTGTTGTTTTAATCCGAATTAAATACTGTGGGGGCACCTATGCGTACAAAACAGCGTTCAGTTCCGTGGAGAGAAACACAGCAGCAACAATATTTGTGGTCAGAATTAAATTATATTTTTTAGCTTTTCGGGACTATGGATTAGAAACAAGGAATGGCTGGGAGATAATCTGAAATTTGAATAATGTGCCGGGTTTTAAGCAGAGTGATTTTCTGTCTGGCTGTCTTGACGCCATGGTTGACTGTCACATCCTGCAACTGAGCATAGTTGGGAATGCTGTACTGGACTTCTGCTCTTTCACCTGAGTGGTTGGGGAACCCTGTGCTGCCTCATGATAAAGGGGCAAACTGATTAAACACTAAGGTCACTAAGTTCATAGTAACTTAGTGACCTCCTCAAGTCTTTTATTAATGTCATGTTTATCTGAGGTGAGCAGATGGCGTGTGCTGTCCTGGGTGCTAAAGTATCAGCACTGGATCTATTCCAGTGCACGTAGATCCCATTTTGTAACAGTCCTTCTTACTACAGGTGTGTGTACCTGCAGCTGTGGCATTAACACTGTTAACCGCGACTCTGCTGAGCACTGGTCTCGTGTGCTGTGTACTCTTCGGCGCCGTGAAAAAATAAAACAAAATAAACCCTGCATCAACTTAAAAACAAACAAAGTAATCGATCACACAAAATATTGGATGTTGACTCAGTTTAGCTGAATAGGTTCAACCATAAACAAAATTTAGAAAGTTTAAGTTAATAAATAAATTATTTTCAGCTGTTGGAATGAGCAAAAGGATTCCGAACAAACAACAGCTTTGTTTGAATGTTTTCAGAGCACTCGACATGCTCATTGACATATGGAATATTACTTTGACTGACATCTCTGTCTCTCACTGTCCACTGTCCTTGGCTCCTGTCTGTTAAAGGGTCACCCCAGTTGCAGGTCTAATCCCTGCCAGTTGAGAGTCTCAGCGCATAGGATTTTGGGCACATTTTCTATGTGTCAATCAAAACAAGCTGTAATAAGTTAACTAGTCGTCCTCGTCTACAGGTGCTTACTGTACTGCCAGCTTTCCCGTTTAGGTTGATTTTGGTGAAATGTCCCATCCCAGCTTTCCAGCTATTAGAAATTTTGTGTGTCAATAGGGAGACAGATTACGGTCCAAATTGCAGATGTTGGGACATGGCATCACTCTTCCTGAGATGACCATGGCACTGCAGAAAAGGACTCGTGTTTGTCTGTCTGTTTGGCTCCTCTCATCTGTGCAACACTATCACAGCTAATTGGCTAGGCAGGAGAGGAGGAAGAACTCCCTGGAGATGCTCTCCAAAGCAGCCAGCACTCTTGTAGCTGCCATTGCATGCAGCCAGCTTTTTGGCAAGCAGCCTACATTTCATGGGTGGCAGGAGCCCCTGTCTGCTGTGTTGAGTCCCAAAATGCAGCCAGCCGACGGCTGCTTGGATGGTTACTCACACTGCACAGCTCTCTCAACAGCAAGGTTGACCATGCACCTGCTGTCTGGGCTATCTGTCCTTTGGAAACATGTAGCACAGGGGCACCAGGATACCAGCATTTGATAGCTATTTAAATGCTTGCTATAACAAACAAAGCTACATTCATCTGTTCTGGCATCTATAATATTACCTCCAATGACTTCTTAGTAAAACATTCGTATTTGTCGCTACCACCCTGTTTCACCCTCTTTTTCACAGTCTGTTTTTACTGTATTGGTAGTGAAGGGGAGCCTGTTTTGTGTACATTTACGTGTGTAGTTGGGTGAAAAATAAGAGACAGACCCCTTGCTGTTGTTTTTACAGTCCTGATTGCAGTGAAGATCACAGGCTGCAAGCCAGAGCAATTTCGCAGTTATCATGTTACATATTTTCCTCAGTACAATGTCACTTTGGATATGAGAATCAAAAGTAAATTATTAAATGTGAGACATAAAATATAGATCCAAAGCAAATATTGAACTTCTTAGGAACCTGCAGGCCTTAAGTTTGATTAAGGAATGTGATCTGGCAGCCATTTGGAAAGCAGTGGTCCAGTCTGTGCTGGTGACTTTTACTTGAGTCAAGCACTTTCCATTTCAGTGCGAAGGCTAAATCAGTGGCTCAGCTGGGAGATAATAGTTTACTCAGTACTGTGGAGAATGCTGTCATTCTATGAGTCACTGTTCTGAGCATCCAAAGCCTCCTGGACTGGTAAATTGCACCGCTATTGTCCAGGCCCTAATATGTGTTTATGACTCCTCCTACCAGCATTGCACAGTCACAGGTTGTGTTTGTCTGTAACTGTGCAGCCAGGCTTTTCACAGAGAGCGAGGATGAGGACAGTGAACTGTGAAGTTAGCTCCTTCTAATTAATGCAATTCAGTGGCACCTCTCTGAGTTGACAGCAGATATATAAAATTCAAATTATTACAATTAAAACTAGGATGTTTCCTAACTTATGCTCTAAAATGGTGTTATTCAAAAAGTAGCAAACTTTCTGAGTAAATGTACAACATACTACATTTTTACCAATAGACAATATAATGATTTAGTTCTATTATTTAAAAATATTACAACTATTCGTCTTGTAACTGTTTAACCCTCTCGAGATTGTGGGAATTTTTTTATTAAATAATTCAGCATGTTTGTTTTAAGATCATGTTAAATCACTGTGATCCTGTTTTTGTTATAATGCATGTTTTTGTTAATGCAGAGCAAAGATGTGGGTGGGAAAAGATTTTGTTGGCTCTTGAATTGGATTTAGACAGAAAATATATAATATTTGCTCGTTTTTCACTGTGGTCTTTAGCATGTGACAGCAGCTACATTGGAAACTGAAACTACGTGAAGATAAAAAAAGAAACAGGCTACTTGAAATGTAAGATTAAACAAGAGCCAGTTTTCCTGTGAGGACAGAACAATCAATTGTATACAAAGGCATGAAAATACTACCACAGTTTTTTCTTGTTACCATGGGAATTCATTAAATACTATTATTAAAAATGTATTTATTTGATATTCCTGTTCCGAGTGACTTTACAATTGATGCATTTGTTATAGGAAAATAAGCTTAATATTTCAGAACCAATTTTATTGGCCAAGTATTTTCAAACACTCTGGGAATTTGTCTCTGGTTGTTTGTACAAATAAAAAGTAAAGGACACGTCGGTGACTGACAAAATGCATTAATCTGAAGATATGTTACATTTTTTCATGCTGCTTTTCTTCTGTCCTGTGATAGCAGATAGCAAAAAACTCAAGGGTTTCACGTTGAGAGAGTTGCATAGGAAACCTCACAAATCACTAAAGTTAGCCCCTGCAGTACTGTTAATCATTTCTCTGGCCTGTTCCTGTTCAACTTTGTGTTTGCTGCGTAGCTAAGTAGTCAATTTGTTAGTCAAACCATTGACCAAAAAGAATCCCGAAAGCCCAGCGGCATTTAAGACATAAACTCTCGCACTGGGTGAGCGTCACATGCAGGCTGTAAGTTCTGATGACAAAGATCACCTGTATGTAAGCTGTAAGGCGTCACATGCACCCCCCTGAATGGGCTCTTTAATGGTAATATTATTCTTGTCTTGCCTGCTTGTTGAAAACTCTTGTATGGTTGAGTATTTTTAAAATGCAGAATCCAGTGTTCTGGAGTGCTTTTAGACCATCTTTACTGTGCAGGAGGCTGCACAATTTGAAGGTTCACAAGTGTCACTCCTTCGTCTTCATCTCTAAATGAAGCCCTTCCTGTAGGCCTTGTATGTGTTACTGTAGTCTCCTTGTTTTTTATCCTAGTTGTGGTGACACCTCAACTTTTATTAATGCTATCTGAGAAGGCTAGGAAAAAGCGTGCATTATGTCCAAAAGTTGTGAAAACATTGCCAATTTGATTGTCACCAAGCAATACAGGATTAAATCATTTATTTAATATATTTTTGCTTTCAAATTGGCTATCATGCAGAAGTAGGTTCTCCAACAAAACGGATTTACAGTAAGTTCAATGCTTCATATAAGTCTGATTTTACAGTCCCGGTCATTTAGTATTCTCCTTTCATTTATGAGTTGTATTTCGTGATCTTCTCTTTCCAGAATCATCTCTTTTTGGCAGCCTGAACTCCCTGCAGGATTTCTTAAAAACATCTGCATTAGTAAAACAGGCATGGAGGGGACAAGAAAAGACCTGTGTTTACACTGAGTCTTTATGTTATGAAACCCAAAAGCTTCTTATCCGTGGTTCATATTAGGAGACGGCTCTGTTTAGTAGTGTAATATATTCCATTCAACTCAACTCAAATCAATACGTCAAAAGTTTGTCATATGAATCTTTTCATAACTGTGTTTTTTTTTTCTTTGCAGTATGACGTCAAATGTGCTGGGAAAACAGCCATCTTAATCTTATAGCTTCTTCTTCGAGTGCTGGGGTTGGTTGGTGTAAAGGGGGGGCAGTTAAGGGGAGAGCAGAGAATGTTATTCCCCAGCAGGCTGTAAGGTCAGATGCTCTGGAAAGGTCCATTTTAATGGTTCTGAATAGGCACCTGCGGCAACCTGGTCTTATGGCCTTTCTGTCCAGCAT